CCATATGATGATTAGACACTTTTGAGGTCATATTTTTCCTTTTGCTACACGACCACTCTACTACAACGACCTCCAAAAGGTTCATGCTTTTATGCAGTTTTGACTGAGATATGAAATTTTTAGTGGGTTATGTCCATGATGACCCCCATTTTCAAAAGACAATTATAGTTTCGAATTTTGACCTGAAACTTTGTCCAAAGCGAGATCTCACTCAGACTAGCTTCTGTGCAAAATTTTAGAACTTTTGGATCTAGTATTTTTGAGATACAGTAAAGTGCAAAAGTATTTGCCCCTCATGTTAACTAACTTTCGAGAAAAAAATATCAGGAATTTTTTCGACGAGATTTTTGCAAGAACATTCTGGATTAAGAGGAAAGGTATATATCTATGGAATACACTAGTTGTCATTACCATTTCTTGTTTGGGAGAAAATGACACGACAACGTAATCAGACTTGGCAAAAAACGAGACGACCAATCATTTTACACTACTGGAATAACGGATATCGATCTCCAGCAATTATTGCTCGTATAACAAAGATCCCTCTTCGAACTGTGAAATACAATATTGACAAGATCAAAAAGCAAGGTAGTGTCGAAGACAGACCTCGCTCTGGTCGGCCTTTGAAGATAAACAGTGATGATAACAAGGCTCTTGGTCAATGGATTCGGCGCAACAACGAGACAACGACGAAAGAATTGGCTGAGAAATTGCTTCAACAAAGAGGTCGACATGTATCACGATGGACAGTACAACGTCAACTCAGACGATTGGGTTATAGAAGCACTTTACCTCAAGGAACACCCATGTTGACACAAAAACATAAAGATGCTCGTGTTCAATGGGCATTGAAACATCAGGATGACGATTGGACACGAACAGTATTTACCGATGAAACATGCTATCAATTATTCAGGAATACCATTCGCCGCTGGTCGAAAAATCCCAAAGGTGAACTCAAACGAATTCCAAAAAACAGGCAGAAAATTATGGTATCGGGAAGTATTAAGATCAAAGGTCTCGTTGGCGACTACAACAAGATAACGATCCAAAGCATCGGAGTCGGGAGGTACAACAATTCTTATATGAAAATGTACCTGAAGTTATTGACTGGCCATCTAATAGTCCCGACATAAATCCAATAGAGAATTTATGGTCAATACTCAAACGTCGTATAGAGAAAAGAAAGCTATCGAATTTGGATGAACTAAATGGGTTTCTGCACGAAGAGTGAGACAAAGTCAATCTACCTACCCTAAATAATTTGATAAAATCCATGAAAGAAAGATGTTTAGCTGTTATCAAATCAAAGGGAGAACGAATCAATTATTAATTGTGATATAACTGAACATTGTAACCTAGCTTATCGTTTTATGCAGTTGGTTATTTTATTGTTCGTTTTTACTCTATGAAATAAATGAAAAACTGAGGGCAAAGACTTTTGCGCTTTACTGTATGTATTTTTCAAATTTTGCAAAAGTTATATGGACAAACGCCTAAATTTTGAAAAATTCATATCTCAGAAAAACTACATCGAAAACTTCTGAAATTTTATACAGAAGCTAGTCTGAGTGAGCCCTCGATTTGGTCAACATTTCAGGTCGGAACTAAGTATCCCGGGAAATTTCCTTCGAAAATGTTAGTTTAGAAATCGAAAGTGGGTACACTTGGATATTGAAGTCAAAAGTGACAGTTCAAAATAGTATCTGTTAACGGTTTTGTTATTAAAATAAAACTTAAAAGAATATGCTATCATGTTATAAAAAAAAGCGATTAAATTGCTTAAATTGTATAAGAGATATTTACGAAAACTTTTCTCAGGAACTCTTGGGACATCCTGTATAGTATCAACGTACTATTTACACTTGATGTACTGGTGTATAATTCATTTCATTCAGATGAGTCAAGAAAGAAAACAACTATCGAATTGAATGTCAATTATTGACTCTTTTTAGATCTAAAGAAATCGAACTTTTCACCATCGTCCGTACCTTCAAACGAGCTTTATAACAAAACTAACTATTAGATATAGTTTCTATTGCAGACATATATACTTTTATAGAGTCGACATGAGACAATTCAATTGGGGCGAATTTCTGTAACAATCGCCCCCTCCCTCGTTTCAGCGCGTTTATTTCTCTTGTTCATCAGATTGGGATGAAATATCAAAAAGAAATAGAATAATTTAGTTTAATTTATAATGTAATAAATTATAATTTGAATGAAAACAATTTATGTTTAAAATAAATTAGGTTTTGTATAATTTATATTTGTTTTAAGTTAAGAGAAAAGTGACACTCCTAGTCTGAACTTACTTTAACCGTTCAATCTTCGAATGATCTTTCTAATAGGTGGGGAAGAGCATTCCTGCTTTATAAAAGATACTTCGTCAATTCATGTTTCCTTCACCCACAATATAGCTTATGTAAGCGATGACTCAATTCAAAAAAAACAAGCATGGTCTCGTGTATGCTCTTTCAATGATAAATAGGGCTGCACTCATCTTTTGAAGATGCCATCACACCATGAGGTTGATCAAGGTGAAAGAAAAGAACAATAAACATAGTTTATATAACCAAGAACGAGATCTGTCAGTCTGTTGTATTGTGAAATAACAGATGGCCATGAATATGCATGGATGCGTTAAAGAAAAGAGAAAGAGTTAAAGAAGAAAAATCGATAATCAGTGTAATACGAGTGAAAGACGCGAAAAAGGATGGACTACGACGATAAGCAGTAGGGCACTTGGCTGCTCAACAGATCTTTCTTTAGACCAAATTACGTCTAGTAATACATGCCTCGCGGATGTGGGTGTGTTGAACTGTGTGTGCCAGTGAAAAAAGACTTTCATCCACACCCAACTATGATTCTTCTATGAAACCTACTCGTATTACTTACGATTAGTTGTTACCTTTCCAGTCTTGTTTTTTCTGCGTTTCAAATAGTAGGATCTAGATGCGTCGGAAATGAGCAATATATTTTGTATGGTTCATATTGTGGTAATGTCACGTGTGTCGACGTAGCCAGTTCTCTTATAACTTAGCCTAGAACCGATTATCTCGTTGGACTGTTCTGATCATGCCCCTATCGAGCATACTTAAGAGGCTTCTTCTGTAATAATACTTTTTATCATTCAAAAGCTCATGGATATGTAAAGTGGAGAAAATTCTGAATTGAATTGATTCTAACAAAGTATGAAACCATAGATTCAATAAGATTCGTAGTAATTTATGTAATCAGTAGACTTGGATTGAGTGTCTCTAAACGTATATATCAGTTGATTTTATTTCGACGTGTTTTTAACTTATTTCCCACATGAAACATAATTGTACTCATGGGCTCTTAAATCGGAGAACAATCATGGACTAATAATACTTAGAAACGAATACGTTTTGATGTTATGATCCTTTTTCGAAGCATAACCACGTAATAGTTTTCATTAGGTAAGTCAAATAGAGAAAATATGAAATGGTTTTAAATGACAACATGCGACTGTATTTCGATGGAGAGAAATCTTTGTGAATATTATCATTCGTCCATATTCTTCATTTTTGAGTTCTTGAATGAAGTGTATGAGTAGAGAAGATGGTTTCACTATTATCATCACGTCAATCCTAGGATCAATCAGACTGTTTAGGTCTTCACATTTTCATGTGAATACTTTCTTTCGGAAAAGCATATACATGTGTGTAATTTCATGTAATCATTGAACAGAATACAAAGCTCATAGTTTCTTACAAAGGTCCTTATGTAATTAGGGAATTCTCTGGTTCAAATATCTGCACGAAGAGAATACTCATGAACATGAATTGACTGCATTTTATTGCTTTGTGACATGAAGAATTTTCAAACCAGTATTATGTTTGGTTAAGGTGGTTTTGACATACTCGTTCCAAGATAAAATCCTGGATGAGGTGGTTGATTGTAAGCAGAATTTTGCCAAGCTACAGCGACTCGATATTGCGGATCGTGCATCACTGTGTAAATACTAGTGTTTGTGAATATTACTGTAGTGAATAACAGTAGTTTAGTATTGTCGTTACTTCTATAGATAACTTATTCGCGCCAATCACCGAGCAGATCTGCTACCAATCCAGGATTTGCTTTACTTCCGTTGCTGTCAGTAGCACCGGCATGTTGATAGAAAGTAAATAATCGAGTCGATGCATTTCGAGAATAATCCCACTTATCTAATTTTGTTCCGTCCAAAAGTTCCCTTGATAGATCACCATCCCACCATATACCGAAATTCATAGAAGATGGATTTGGTGCAATTTCAATACCTTTACAATTATGTAATCCACCGGATGCTCCCCATACTTCTAGACCCTTATGACGAGGATCTATGTCGGCGGCCATAGCCCTGCCTATATCACCAGTTGTTGGAATGTCACAAAGAAACCCACCAGTTTTACCATCATGTAAGGCTAAGCCATTTTGTTCATAAGATGTTACATCCTCGTAACATTGCCAGACTTCTTGTCCTGGCCTATCAGAATCTATATCTGTCATGTGGAGAGCATCACCATGTCCCTTACCATTGGTATATAATCCCCTGCCATTATCATATATAGCACTTGCACCATTGCAAATTTCATCTTTTCCATCTCCATCTACATCCGCAATTGACATTTGATGATTTCCTTGACCGAAATATTTGCTATTTCCGGGTGTTGATGATAAACTATCAAATGTCCAGCGACGCGTCAGGTTTTCATTTCTCCAGTCCCAAGCTGTTTGCACTAATCGAGTGTAATATCCTCGTCCCATAATTAAACTTGGTTTTCTACCATCCACATAGGCAACAGCTGCAATGAAGCGATCAATACGATGTGCATAATTATCACCCCATGAAGCTACAGTACCACGATCAGGTACAAAATTAACTGTCGCCATTGCTTTACTCGATCGTCCATTAAATACAGTTAAAAATTCAGGACCAGTGAGAATATAACCTTGAGAGTTCCTATAGTCTGTATTTGGATTGCCAATTACAACATTCGTACCATCTCTGGTTCCATCAGCAATGTTGCACGCTACTTCAGCTTTTCCATGTCCATCTAGATCATAGACTATGAACTGGGTATAATGTGTACCAGCACGGATATTTTTTCCAAAATCAATTCTCCATAAATGTGTACCATTCAATTTGTAGGCATCCAAATAAATATTACCTGTATATCCAGTATGTGCATTATCATGAGAATTTGACGGATTCCATTTGAGTACGATCTCATATTCTCCATCCCCATCGAGATCACCTACACTACAATCATTGGCATTGTATGTATAGGAAATGCCATCGGGAGTTACTCCACCTGCTGCAATTTGCATAGGTATAGTAAGATATTGTTTCGCCTAGACACTTGCTGATTCCGAATATGCTTGTTCTGTATCATTCAAAACTACCTTTATTCTATAAATATTGTTAGTACTAATGTTATCCACAAAGTTAGTACGATCGGTTAAAGGTGTTGGTGTAATTTTCGTTTGACCCCTGTATAAACAAATGCTATAGTTGACGGATCAATACCAAACAAATGCCAGCTAATGTACACTTGGCTATTGCTTGATCGTACCGCTATTAAACCTCTGTTCAATTTTTCCATTTGTTTCTGTGTTTCTGCATTAGAATCTATATCAAAATAAACCAAAATAAGCGATAAAGTCGAATTAGATCAATACTAACATAGTTTCACCTTTTGTTTCGTTATCGTAGAATCGAATTAAAGGCTCAAGATTCACTCATTTTGTTGATTTCTTACTCGCTCTAAGAGATATCGAATAGGGTGCTTAGTCTCCATTGATCATATCAACACTTTTGATTAAAACTTGCAGTTCAGAAAAAAAATCTATCCCTAATCTACCATTCAACAAAGACGAACATTTATTAGAGAAAATTTTTCACTGCAGCAAAGTGAGGCCTTTTGTGTGATGTACAGGATGTGGGTGTTCTCTAGAATCAAACACACACCCACAGCCACACTCTCGTCAGTATAACAATTATATTCTTGAATAATACTTACAGTATAATGAATTTTGACAATAAAATTTCGTTTTCTTTTCTAAAAACCTCTGCCATCAAAGGATTAAATATTAAAGTTAAGCCAGCACGACGGACTGCTACTACCAAGAATTGAGATGAGCCAGAAATCCTTAATAACTGGACTTTTGGTGACAAAATCTATAGAGTGCTTGGGTACATGTTGTCGAGCACACTCATTCAGATCACCCGTTGATAAGTCTCCTTATTAAGATTTTCTGGGCCTCTTAAATCGATAGTTTGCTAGGCACGTGAAACTATCGTAGATCTAAAGTCCAATGTGCTTGCTAAGCAAAGATTCTGACCAATCTGAAAATGAATTTTATCAGGTGCATGGTCAGTTTGATCTAGTCGCTCTCACTTTGATGAGAACCGGCATCGGTCAGGAGAAACACCTAACCGGTTGCACATATGACTAATATCACTGTTTTCGAAATATACGATTAGTTGGATGAAAAAGAAAAATTATGCTATAGACAATGATAGATTTAAAATATGACTACCAGCTTAACATTAGTTCCATAACCGAGTGAGAAATATTCAAAAGATACATTATACATGCATCACAATTATCCAAACATATGTTACAATCTATTCACTCATACATCATAGTACGAACATACTATCTGATCAAATCAACAACACTAATTTAGATACTATATATCTTACATCTTCCAACATCTTCACCAACTGATGCCGATGTAAGACAAAATAAGTATGTAACGATAAAGACTACACGGCACATCATTTTTCAATTTTCTTTTTGTAAAACACTCATGCACAAGTATACGAGTTATATTGATTCTTTTTTAACGAAACTATTTTTTTAAGTCTTAATATTGAGAAAAAATTGAATGAGTAATCGTGTAACAAAATATCATATCACGAAAGAAAAATCTTTCAGTGTAATCCTTACGGAATTGAAACGTGAAACACGCTGAAACTGTTTGACATGAAGATGAAAATTCTTCTCATATTCTGTTCCATTTGTCAGAGCGTCAAGGCGAAATCATCTTCAAGTGTTCATGACGGTCTGTAATAGTCGCTAACATACCACATTACGCTAGAAAAATGAACTCGTTTAATTTTTGAGATCTCAAATCATTTTAAAAGTTCATAAATTGAGAGGTAAGTTAGACCTTCAAAAACATACCAGAGTTCACATCGGCTCTTTACAAATGGAATGAAACTTCCAGCACTTGTAGGATTTGGTCCTGTAAGCATAGCCCTGGATTCAAAAAATTTAAAAACCTTGTAAAGATTCTCAAATAGGGGAGCAAGGTGGGACCTTCTAGCTAAACTGGGCGCTCGCTGGCTTCTCTGTTTCAAACAGCAGAAGTCTGAAAATTTTGTCATAGATATCGCTCGTTCAAGTGATTGTTTTTTGTGGCAGACGTTTTTTCTCCTCTGTGTTCTGCCTTTAGGAACTCACTGTGGAAAACATCACTTTTTGACGTTTTGTGGGCTAAAATATCTCTATGAAGCTAAAATGGATTTTTAAGTTTTGGTGGCGTTTTAGTGACGTCAAACTGTTGTCTATCCAACGATGAAACGCACGGGCCTATTTTCGAAATTTTCCCAACGTTGTGTGCCCTTCAGACAAAAGCACGGGATTTCCAAAACTTATCCTATAGTGGGCCTTCATCAACACATCTAGTTCTAGCATTCCTAAAATTTTCGTTTTGATCCAAGACGATTTTTATCAAATTAGTCGATCTTCAGCTTTTATGAAGAGAAAGGCTTATATAGCTGTTATAAGTTCCATACAAAAAAATCAAGATTGGTTTACTTGGTCAAATCGTCTTGGACCAAAACGAAAATTTTAGGAATGCTAGACCTAGGTGTGCTGATGAAAGTTCCCTATAGGATAGTTTTTGGAAATCCTGTAGTTTTCTCTGAAGAGAGTTCAAAGTTGGGAAAAACTTCGAAAATAGGTCCTAAAGATGCCATTCTCATCCAATCCAGGAGCAAGCTACAGACCTTCGAGATTCGTCATTGGATTGAAGACAGTTCAATCATTCTAAAGTATTAGCAAGGGTGGAGTAGGTGTGGGTGTGACTGTCGGTCGCTGTATTCTCTAAAACCACACTCACACCCCATACACACCCAAACGCACACCCACACCCACATCGCACACCCACACCTGCATCCGCATGCCATATCTGTTTGTTCGACTGATTTTCTAGGTGAGTTTTAGAGGGACGAATCACAACACTCCCACTCATACGTACAGTTGGCGTAAGAATTATTAATGCTTTTTTATTATTCATGCCAATGAAGCTTTTTACGACGTACAGGTTTCATCGATGTGCTTCTATATTTTTACTCATGGTCTAGCACTGATGTTTTTATCTAATTCTTTCAGAAAAACTGTGGCGAAGCTTTGTGAGGTGCATATACAAAAGAGAAGTACAATCTTAATGAAGGTTTGTTCGGGAAAAGATCAATTTATTATTTTTGCTTTTCATTATTGCATGATCTGATTCACCTTAAAATTTGTATCGTGAAGGCTAAAAATTACAAAAAAATGATTACTTTTACATCGTTAAATGAAAATGTTCCACGGAAATGTTAAGAGGGTAGAGTGTTCGTTAAGGCCTAATGTTTATTAACATCTATCTCCACACCCAACCGCTGCAACAAATGCATCAAAAACATCACAGGACGTTTGTTAACGTGAGTTGATTTACTGCCACTTCACCTGAATTTTGTTTTTCTGTCACGTTTGCAAGTTGGAGAAAAACAATTGCCAATACTGCGCAAGGCGTATGATTCTCATTTATTATAGACTTTTTTATCGAAAATGATGATTACATGTGTACCATGTGCGAAAGCACAATTTCGACGAAAGATCGAGAGAAAGAAAATACGTCAATTATATTTTGCTGACTCTTTGTAATACCTTTGGTACGAACAAAGCATGAAGTCTTAGAAATAAGAAGAAGATACCAAGTATTAACTTTAACTTTCAAAAATAGGAAAAAGTTAGAGATAAAAATTACTGTTGATCGATACTTCTCTTTGAAATCATTGTGCAGCACACATTTTTGTCTCCTTTTGCGCTAAGTGTTAATAGACCTCGAGAAAACTCACTAAAGTGATTCCATGAGATCTCGACAGCGTTTACAATCACTATATAGGATGACGACTGTAAGTAATATGTTTAAATGTACGTGCATGTGAATTACAAGTCAAATGAACATTCATATACACGCCTATGCACCGACATACTTATTCATCCACATCCTCGTGTTATTAGTAACAGGCTATGGATTCAAAAAAAAAGCTAGTCTTATGTGTAGGATGCTATTGGCCTTGCATAATCGTCATTAGCGTTTTATATTTACGCAGTATGCATAACTTTTAGAATCGAGTTCAAGCGTGTCTACAATCAATTGGTGGATATTATTTAACTTTTATTGACTACTACGATAAAGGATACGTTTGCAGTTGATTCTGCGTCACCGTCTCAGTGTCAACGTGAAGGAATAGTACACACTTTCAAGATACGGGAACTACATATACTGCCACAAACACGGACGTGTCCGAAAGAAAATGCGATTGGTAGTGTGTCATTAAAACGTTGTGATAATTTGAAATTAAAATTGGATAACTGTCAACATTTGTTTAAAGAACATAGTGTTCATAGTACCAATGCTATGAAGGCTGCGGGGTTTGAATATATAGGAGTTCGAGATACCGTTCGTTGCAATGTGTGCCAACTTGAGGTTTCTGATTGGAAGATCAATATGCAACCTTTTACGGTACACTCTGAACGGAGATCAGATTGCCCATTTGTATGTTCGATAAAGTTGGATTCAGACATTAAAAAATTTCATTCCTTGTTTTTTATAAGGCTCTCCACACAAAATGAAATTAATTCAAAATTACTTGAAGACGACAAAATAATGAAATGCCAAAAGATGGATGTAACAAGTAAGAACCGAAGCAAGGGACTTTTCTTTAAAGAAGTTGAAACGTTAAGACAGAGTCGGTCTCGAACATTTTCTCATTGGCCACGGGATCGTTCACCTTCGAGTGCACAAATGATCGAGAGCGGGTTTTTCTACTGTAATGTTGGGGATCGAGTTATCTGTCTATATTGTGACCTAATTTGTCAATAGTGGACGCCGCATACCGATGATCAATTTGAAGTACACAAAACTCTATTTCCTCAATGTCCCTGCGTTCTAGGCATCTTAGCCTGTCGATCTACCACTTCTCTATTAATCGTAAACGAGAATTCTTTTAGAAACTATCCTATTTTGGATTCTGTTGCTGATGAATTTCGATCAAATGAAATTGTCCTTACCACAGCTTGTAATCCTGCCTTTGTAGAAATTCCAAGACGGCATGAATCATATGCTACTTGGCCAAGCGAACTCCTACCATCTGTCGATAATCTGGTTCGAGCAGATTTCTTCTATACTGGTAAGAAAACGATCGTCACTTGTTTCTATTGTAATGGCTCCTTACAGAATTGAGGTCCAAATGATAATCCGATGACAGAGCATTCTCGTTGCTTTCCGAATCGCGCCTATGCTAAACAACTGTGTGGTGATAATTTGTACCGTAAAATTCAAGAATCAAACAAGCAACACTAGGTTTGCTTAAAGATTCACAAGGTAGTGCCTCACCATCGTTCGTCGTTTCTGTTTCTCTTAGATCGCAACATGATTGCTGACTCTATGACGACTGGTTCATCAAAGAATCAGCATATAAATATACCCAATGAAAGCACATTATCTAGCATCGTGGCAGCCCGTTTAGATTTGCAAATATCACAAAGTTTACTGAGTCGAGATTTCAAGCTATCTATGATAAAACGCTGTTTCGAAGATCAACTTCGATCAAAACGTACTCTAAAACACGAATAGTCTCAATGTCACTTTTCGCCCCAAAATTTTATCAACCAATGCCTATATAATAATAACAAAGTCGATGTGTACTGCAAGCCTAGAGCAGTTATTTTTCTTGAAATGACTTTCAAGTTTTTGACCTTCCTACCTCCATGTGATTTGAAAAACAATTTTTTCCAAATTAAGTCTTTAAAATTAGCTAGAGATATTAAGTCTGCTATGCTGATCACAAATATCACTATTGCAAGTCTCAGAAATGTAGTGTTGAGATGCGACACAGCTTTTACCTATATCCAAATTATCGATTCAAAAATATGTTTTCCTACGTCTTTCTGGCATAGGCTAGCCGCTAAAAGATTTAAAAAAAGGCTTTCTATATGTAAATTTTAGAGCTTTATCAGAATCTAGA